GCTCAAAACTTCTTCAGTTACCCAGGAAAATTGTTTTTGAAGGTCACTACTAGGAAGGACGGAGCCTTGTTCAGCAGGGGTTACATTGGCGTTTGATCCTTGGTTAGTAGAAGTTACCCCGACATCTAATTCTGTAGAATGTGACTCCATAAATACATAGAACAACAACAGGGGAAGTTTAAAACAGAAAATGCACGTACCTGAACTAAATAAATTACTATGGGAAGGGCTTGAGGAGTCATCTGAGCTAACCAAGGGAAGCCGAGCTTGTGGATTTGGTTGATGGGTGCAACTACCTAGAACGAGGTCGGCCATAAAATCATGTCCCTTTTCAATAAATTGAGAATTGAGGTACACACAATTATAGCAAGGATCCGAGATTCTGTTGACCGGGTTACAGGTGGTAGATTTTTGAGGAGCGCCAGTAGGGGAAAGGCCAAAAAGGTTGGATTTTGGGCTAGAAGAGCTGAGGAGGATGTTTGGCCTATACTACGGTTACTAGACTCTGTTAAAATCCTTGGGTTGTGGTTGATGCTTTGACCATGTCCTCGGTTAAAAAGATGAGATAATGATATCCCTCTACCTCTACCTCCTCGATATCTCCCTAATAACACCGCTTGCTTTTCTTCTGCGGTCCGAGGTCTTCCAAAGATCCAAAACCTCGGACCTGGAGAAAGACTTTGGATAAACTTTTCTTCCTCTTCATTTATCTCATCGCTACGGCAAAACCACGGGGGCAAGTAGGTTTTGCCTGTCCACTGGAATTTTCCTCACTCATACTAAGAAATAGTTTCAGAAGGGAAAATAAGAATGGGTAGCCAGAGAAACCCATATCAAACAGTGCTAATCCATATCAAATAGTGTGGAAAGAAGAAAACAGAAAGAAGAAAGAACATAACATGCATATTCAGACAATACAGTACGAGAAAGATACCAGTGAAGAATTACGAGAAATATACTGGTGAAGAATTAAATAAATTATGAAAAAAATACGTTGATAATCATCAACGTATACCATAATGCATGAAGTGGTTAAAAGTTGAAGTTCGTAAAGTATACCTAGAATGGAGCAAATAGGCTTTTGGTATCGTGAGAGAAAATGGAAGAAGGAGAAGTATAAGTAAAATAGTAGTGCAAGCAAATTCAGAGGAAAGACAAGAATGAAGTCTGAAGAAGATAAAAAGAAGAAAATAAATTAAATGGATGAAGCCTGCGAAATGAAAAGACAAGGATATTAAAGTAGTTTCATCCAGCAGACAAGACAGCTGAGGGACGTCTTGACAGTTTCAATTTAATACAAAGCGACGTGGAAAAGGCAATGGCGCACGTCACACCTATAAGGAAAGGCCACGTAGAAAGCAGTTATCATTGCTTGGAAAAAGTAACGTTTCATGAAGCATGAAGAGTTGAACAAGCTGGGATACAGAAAGTATCTCATGTTGACCTGGAGTATAGAAGGGTTACTTCAGACTCGTAAATGGAGATGAGAACGCAGAGCTAAGGAAGACACGTTCCCTACCAAAGCACCATGGCAGCAGATTTGATTATTAGATATCCAACTCGAATGGAAGAATCCAGATAAGCCGCAGGGTTCGAGCTGAAAAACTTAAACATCAATCCAGGGTATAATAAACACCGATTTCAAAAAAATGTGATCCTTAAGAAAGGATTACATCCCAATCTGGAATAGAAGATCCATAATGAAGTTCAGGGTAAAGACTTCAAGAAAAATTGCCATACCTCGATAGCTTGGACAACCAATAACTATGTTGGGCTGGAAAACTCTAACTTATGCACCCCGGTAGCCTGAGCAACCAGCCTACCGTGCTGGGGGAAACTGTTATGGACTCGCGTAAGACCCATATACTTGAGAGGCCCAACATAGGATGGACTGCTGGATAACATACAGACAGCAGATTGTGCCCAGGAGAAAGAGGCCCAAATGGTTCAAACCCTAAGGTAAACACTATAAATAGGAACTAAAGACCACAAGTATGGACTAATCTCTCTATTATTATTATTACACAATCACTGTGCACACCCCCCTTTTGGCTAAGGCCTTATAATCGTGTACAGTGATTTGCTACCCCAAGATACCTAATTCATAGGTATCTAAAGAGAGAGCACAAGATCCTATATTGATTCACTAGCACTTGACTAGACATCTGTAGGCTTAAAGACTCAAAAATAACAATTTATTCTATCATCTTACACAATAATGAATGTGGAATCACAACGCAAGAAAGGTATCTCGTCCTTCTTTTTCTTGTATAGTTTTGATGTGTCAAACCCCTTTAAAAATGTTTAATTTTTTTATAAAAAAATAATAACTTTGATGTATTTATGTAACATTTTTTTATAAAACTTTTAAATAATTTGTATAAAACAAAGAGTAAAGCCTTTTTGCGTTCCTAACAAAAAATACAGTCTCACTATCGTCCCTTACAAAAAAACAATATTCATAAGTACCTTGGTATCCCTTTGCATCATAATAGAGTCTCAAGAGCTCTTACTCCCACATCCTAAGAAAGATGAAGGATAGGCTAAGCTCCTGGAACCAAACCTCCCTATCTTTCGCAGGAAGGATTACGTTAGCTAAATCGGTTTTGAATGCTCTCCCATCCTATTCCATGCACTCATCTGTTCTCCCCCTATCCATCTGTGACAATATTGACAAGTGTATTAGGATATTTATATGGAGATCTTTTGATACTCTTAGGAAGGTCCACCTGGTTAATTGGGAGAAGGTTTGCTCCCCCAAGCTGGCTGGTAGGCTCGACTTCAAATGCTCCAGATTGGTTAACAACGCCATGATCATGAAAACTAGCCATAGGCTGATGGCTGACAAAGATGCGCTATGGTGCAAAGTCCTCAAAGCCAAATATAAGGTGGGAGATGACCTCATCCCTAGTCTTACCAGAATTAGAGATGCCTCTAATCTCTGGAAAGGCATCATGAAGACTTGGCCTAATGTTAGAAGATGGTCCAGAATCATCTTAGGGGATGGTTGTAATACTAATTTTTGGACGGACAAATGGATCCCTCAGGTGGACAACTTACTATCAGTGGCTTTGGAGCCAATCCCTGAGACTCTGCTTTATTGGACGGTAGCAGACGCTAGTTCCGGTGAGGGAGTGTGGAAATGACATCTCTTTCAACACCTAATTCCCCAACATGTCTCCAATTTAATCGCAGGCTTGATCCCCCCTGACCTAGGAGAAGTTGCTGACCGTGTTTCGTGGGATCCTTCAAACGATGGTAATTTCTCCATTGGCTCAGCTTACACGCTCATTAATCATGCTGAGGATACCCCTTTTTCTTGGTGGAATACCCTATGGGCTTGGAAGGGCCCTCATAGGATCCAGTCTTTCATCTGGCTGTTACTTGGGAACAACCTTCTAACTAACGTGGAGCGTACGAGATGACATATGAGTAGCTCCACTTCCTGTCCGCGGTGCAACTTTCCTCTCGAAGACAGCAACCATATTTTAAAGGTTCCCCTTGGGTGATTAAGGTCTGGAATTGCCTTATATCTTCGGACTTCCTCAACTCTTTCCTGTCTGGGCAGTTTCATGATTGGCTCCTCCACAACCTTAACCCTATTAGCAATCCTAGAAAGGAGGAGACGTGGAGTATGCTGTTTGGAATTGTCTGATGGTTGGTTTGGAAAGATAGAAATGACCTTGTGTTTAATGCCACTTCATCCAATCCCACCAGCCTGGTGCATTGTGCTAAGAGCCTTTCCTCAAACTTTCTCTCGTCCCAGTCCATCCTCGGCCTTATGGGTGTGGGACATTCTCGCAAGACGGAGGTCCTTATTTTTTAGTCCCCCCTCTTGAGGGATGGGTGAAGCTTAACTCTGATGGATCTTCCTCTTTGTCTGGCTCGCATGCCTCCTGTGGTGGTGTCTTCAGAGACAGCTCAGGCAGGTGGCTAGTGGGTTTCTACAAGTCCCTTGGGGTGGGAAATTCTCTCATGGCCGAACTTTGGGGCATGCTTTTGGGCATTCAGCAAGCGTAGAGCAGGGGCTTTCGCAAGGTCTGGCTTGAAGGAGACTCCTCCACTGCTATCCACCTGATCAATGAGGGATGTCCTAAAAACCACAACCTCTCTTCCTTAGTTGGTAGGATCCAATCTTTTATGGCAAAAGACTGGTCTATTAAGATCTCTCGCATCCATAGGGAAGGAAACTCTGTAGCTGACTTTCTCGCTGTCATGGCTTCCGCTCAAGATTGGCTCCTGCACACTGTCGATAGTGTGCCCTCCAAGTGCTTACTTTTAGTTCAAAATGACATCCAAGACATCACTACGCCTAGGATGATTCGTATGTAACTGCCAGGTCTTCCTGGCGCATGTTTTGTTTTATTATTTTCCTTTTTCTCTAAAAAAAATATTTGTCTCTCTTTTGGGACTAAATTGGATTTTCATTAAATTTCTGAGGGATCATGTTTTCAAAGAACTGAAATTGTAGAGGAACCAAAAGTTGAATTTTTTTTTTTTGTAAGGAACAAAAGTGAGGATTGTATTTTTTGGTTAGGGACCCAAAAGAAATTTTACTAAAAAAAAAAAAAATATTACGCTTTTTGCATCTGCAAGTATTGTTTATTGTTTAGAGTAAAAACCTTTTTTGGTCCCTAATAAAAAATACGGTCCCCACTTTAGTCCTTTACAAAAATAAATTAGTCAGTTAGTCCTTAACAAATTCAAAGTGGGCCCATTTAGTCCTTTTGAGGGACTAATATAGGTCTTTTTTGAATTTGTGAGGGACCGCGATTTCAACTAAATGGGTCCACTTTGAATTTGTTAGGGACTAACTGACTAATTTATTTCTGCAAAGGACTAAAGTGGAGACCGTATTTTTTTTGTTAGGGATCAAAAATGGTATTTACTCTATTGTTTATTTTCACTCCTGGGTCACTCTTTCAGTTTTGTTTTCACCACCCCACGCGGTATTAATATAAAACCCCCATAGATGTAATGTTGCATTGAGAGTTATTGATTCAGCTAAGTTCACACCATCGTCTTCTTAGCCTCCACTTAAAACCCTAAAATTCGCTTCTCAATCTTCTCGTTTTTTACTTTGCTCCTGAACTTGAACTCAACGATTGGTAACGAAAATCCCAAGGTTGGGATATGGTGGGAGGAGGGAGCAGGAGGGAGGAGGCAACGTCGATGAACAGCACAAACATTTTCGCAGCTCTCGGGAGCTTGAATAAGAAGAAGAAGAAGGAGGGATCTTCCAAGACCAGAGGCTCCGCCGCCGCAGACGAAGAGCCGGAGAAGAAGGAGGTTTTCTGGGCTCCGGCGCCGCTCACGACGAAGTCGTGGGCCGATGTTGACGACGAAGACGATGACGACTATTATGCCACCACGGCTCCTCCTGATTCAGCTTGGTCGAATACGGAGAAAGCGAATGAAAGTGATGCTGCTGTAGAGGTCACTACTCTGAACAATCAGTTTATATATACATATGTTTTGATGAAAATGCATGCTCTTGTTTAGTGCTGATTGTGGCCTTCGATTGCTGCTGTTGGAACCTGATTAATGCTGTTGATTAATTCTCGTTTATATATGTCGGCTTATTCTGAAAGACATAAATTGTGTTGAAACTTCCTCTAATCTGCTGGAAAAGAAATGATATATTTTTAAGCATCGATAAATGAAATAATTACTCTTATTAAGAGTAACGTAGGCTATGTTTGGATTGATGGTAAGGACGGAGGGGAGGGAATGGAATGAAATGACATTGCTTGTTATCGTTTGGGTCGTTTAAAAAAAGGTGGAGTTGAATGGAACTTGATGGTATCTATTCCATTCCATTCCATCTAATACCTCTATTTTACTTCCCCTCCTCCGATTTTGGCGGGGAGTGACAATTGGATTGAACCACTGTAATAAAGTTAAAACTCTTATCATTATGTCCACCTCCCAAATGATAGAATGAAACCACCCTTTGCTCCATTATAAAATATACGAATGGTATGGTAATTTTATTCCATTCCATCTATTATACCCATCATTATAAATCCAAATATAGCTCTAGAGTAACAAAAGTTGACTTGAATGTAGATATGATTACCTATTGCCAGCTTCAGTTGTTATGTTAGTTGTCAAGTGTGTTGATGATGAGTATTCTGTTGTTGTTCCTGTTTTCTAGCTCGATGGCAATATTTATCAATCCTTTCCAAGTTGTCATGTATAAAATTTAATCTTAAAGGTCTTCTGATGTATTATGTAGTTCGCATTCTTTTAACAGCATTAGCTTTGTCATTTTTCTGATTTGACTGTTCTTTATTTTATTAAGAGCCTTATCCTTTCCAAGTTGTCATATGTACAATTTAATGCTAACCATCTAACAATACTGTGTCTGGTTTGCATGTATGTATTGGTCTTATGTATGTTGGTTTGTGTTGGGCTATGACTAGTGGGCCCAAGTTCAGCAATGCAAAGGAGTCCATAGTTAGTTAGTTTGTTATGGAAAGTATAGGATAAAAGGTAGGTAGTGTGTGTAGTTTGGGTAGGCATGAATTCAGAATTGGTTAGTGGGGAAAATTGGGGATCTCTGAGAGTTGAGGTCACTTGGGGTTTATTTTCTGCATTTTATCTTTGTATTAGTGTATGTAAAAGGAGGCTATGCCTCCATTGTTAATGAAATCAATGCCATATTTTTCTGGGTTCCATCAGTTTGCTGATATGACCCTTCTATATAATACTAATGGTACGTGAGATATATGTACTTTCAATCTTCCATGTGTTTGATGTTGTGTATTTAAACAGCTAACATGTCATTACTGTGATTCTACATGTCTAACTAACACAAAAGACGTCATGTAGCCTGTAATCTTTACAGATTGGTCTTGAATGACTCTATGGTTATAGAATTACCAGAAATAGCATAGCTGGACAAGTTGGATATTCTTCTTTTGCTGCCTTAATGACACAAACTGAAGCTGCATTCTTAGGTATTCTGGTAAATGTCATGAGCATAGTTATCAATAGAGCGCAATACATTATAGTGGCATAGCATGGCATAGTGCCACCGTCCCACTATTCTCAAATTGCTATGCTATGTTTTTGTGGAGCGGCCAAAATCACAGGAATAGCTAGCCATAGCGCCAAAGGCTGTTTGCCCCTGTTTGTGCATTGTTCATTGCGGACGTAAACTCGTCATTAAATTCACTTGTAAAAACACCTCTTTGCCCCTGTTTGTGCATTGTTCCCGCTGCATTTTCAGAGGCAAAATCAAATTTTCCACCCCCTTAACCTAATGTATGATATGTCCATCTTCAGTCAACCCCACTGCTCTCTGGCTGTTTTTTGGCCACTGCTCTTTCCTGGTTTTGCAAGTCTCTTCCAACTCTGTTCAGTTTTCGTCCTGCTTTGTTCAGTTTTACTTGTCTTGTTCTATTCTTGTGCGTTCTGCTGCCTCTACTCAGTACTTCAGTTTGCAATTTGTTTCTCTGTTCAGTTTAGTCATGGCATCACTGTAGCAGCTATCCTGCTGTAGAAATTTTGGGGTCGGCCGCTGCAAAGCCGTCCGAGACTAATAACTATGGTCTAGAGTTGCTAACATAGTTCACAGGTTAGTGGTTACAATCAATCTGATGTTGGCTACAATAGTTGCTAAGTAAGCATCTCAACAAGCATTAGCAACAACCTTGGAATTATTTTAGACCTGGAATAGCCATTATATATTCCCAGAAAAACTGGGATATTAGCATATTTGCAATGGGATTGGGTCCTACTGATAACTCACTCGTAATGAATAGCAATAGCATTGATGTGGTTAATATGTTGCGAGATAGGTTATAAAAGAAGATAATGCCATAGAAATTCCCTATATAAGTGGAAAAAGTGGAAAACATAAACTGTTTTAGAAAAATGCAAATTCATTGCTGATTGTGTACTTGATTTCTACATAGATGCTCTTTTTTGCCTCCTTTTCCCTTTTTATAAAGAGAATAGAATAGACGTAGCATTTAAAAGAGTAATAATGTCAAATAAGTAACAAAATTCCTGTGCCTGACAGGAAAAAGTGAATTTACAAAGTTATCGCTCAAGCCGAATTGGTCATTATTCTTGAATGTGTGCTGTAAGCCGCAAAAGTCCTGTTTCTGGGCTATTAATTGTAATCAGAAATAGTGATAACTGATAAGTGACTTCTATCACTGAGTAATATCATCTGGCAATTTAATGACGAGTTTACTGTTCCATGCTCATATAGATCAAAAGTCTATTCACTGTTCTCTTCTTTTATTGCCAGTTAATTGATCTGTGTTAACTGCGTTTCTCTTTCCAACCTCCATCAGTATGTATGTGACTACGCTTATGGTGATTATCATTCTATTAAATCTTCAACAAGTTATGCACTGACTAACAGGTAGATTTGTTGAATAACAGGAAAGTGAGAGTGAGGAAGAAGATCTTGACGATGTGGATGATGATGCTGAGGACCAACTTGAAAATGACTTCGAGGTGCCATTAGATGCTAAACCAGTTCTTGAGAAGCCTCCTGAACCCTCGATGGCTACCAAGGAAACCGAAAGACAGCTTTCTAAGAAAGAATTGAAGAAAAAAGGGCTTGAAGAGCTTGAAGCTGTTTTGGCTGAGCTAGGATATCCTCAAAGAGAATCCAGTGGCCACGAAGATTCCCATGGTAATATAATGCTTTAGTCATGTGTAACAATTTTTAATATTTAGTTCTGCCAAATGAAAGAGTTAAGTGAAATTTGATTATTGGTTCCATGTAAAAGCTTCCCCAATTCAAGTGTAAGTGGTTAAGAATTATTGTAGATATATTCCTTCATAGATGTAAAATTGTATTTATGTTTGCATTTGTCTTTTAAATTTCGTACAATATATAGGAGCTCTATTTATCTTATTTTCATTCCATCTACTGTTTATGATCCTTTTAAATATTTCATGAACTGTTTATGTTCTTATTACTCAATGATTTCGTGTAATAGTTGCTCTCACCAACTATTTGGATTAAACTATGGGATCTAGCCAGAAAAGCTTGAGCTAACACGTGTGCACATTTACCCCATACATACTCCCGCTAAAATGACTCATTACTTGTTCAGGAACTTTCTACTTGGATTTTATTTTTATCTGGCCTTTGGAAATGCAGGTCCAGAAAAGAAAGAAGAGGATCACATTGGTGCGGTAAAGAAGGAGAATGTTTCTGGGGATAGCAAAAGTGCGAGAAAGAAGAAGAAGAAAGATAAATCTTCGAAGGAGCAGAAAGAATCACAAGACCAGCCTGATGGCATAGATGTTGGAAATATAACTTCAGAAACTACTGGCATAGAGATGGCAGAGGAGGCATCTACCACTGATGTTAAAGAGCGGCTTAAGAAAGTTGCTTCTATGAAGAAGAAAAAGTCAAGTAAAGAGATGGATGCTGCTGCACGTGCTGCGGCTAGTGAGGCTGCTGCAAGGAGTGCAAAGCTTGCTGCAGCTAAGAAAAAAGAGAAGGGGCACTACAATCAGCAGCCAGTGCGGTAAACAGGCTGACAAAATATTTGTATCTTTTGTTGTAAACTTTTTGGTGTCTTTTTCAATTTATTACCTTATATGAGCTTATGCTCTTCTTGTTCATTTGCAAATGCAAAATAAACGTTGATAGCTGCTTTAGATTTGACTTTGAGCAAGATTTTTATTTTCTAATTTTACTTGAGGGAATAGGAGTATATGTTGTTCATCTTTTTCCCCTTTGCTCACTTTTGTATGCCAAATCTCTTCTTTGTTGATTAATGAAATCTGGCTCTAATTCTGAAGTAATGAAGCCTGCCAGTCTATTTCTTTTTCAAAAGTTTGTACATGTCACGATTGTGATGGTTAGACATGGGAAACAATTCCCGCTAATTTTGGGAGGTAGTCCTTATCTGTGTCTGTGTGGCCTTGGAATTATGATGGATTACAACTGATGAATGAAGGAAAGAAATTTTTTATAAGATATATATATATATATATATATATATATATATATATATATATAACGGGGAGACTACGGTGATGGTTGACAAATTAGCAAAACCGCAGAAGTGAAGTTCCAATTATTATACTAGGAAGGAAATTGTTTGGGAATGCAGATTTCAAAGCGTAGGAGTTTAAACTCGCGTTTATGCTGCTGTAGTAGGATTTGTGGAGTGTGTTCAAAGCATGGAATGTGAGGCTGCATGGTTTTGGAAGTGATGGATGTATTATGTTCACCCTAAATGTCGTTGAGTATATTGTCATTTTTCGTATATCACTAATTGACATTATATTTCTTTGACTAAATCCATTTTGGGTAATTTCTTTTTCTGTTGCTAACTAAAGTTTTAACTTGGCACTTACATAAAAGGGGCAAGGAAAGTCACTAGAATTGATCTCGCGATGAGGAATTTGAGTAGTTTTCATAAGGTCTTAGATTCAAACTTCATTATTACAATTTAAAAAAAAAGGGGAAGGGGGGTGGTTTATAAAGCTCTTCCTGTAGAGTCTAAGGATGGGTTAGACCTATTGTGTAGGTGTATAGTAGACAGCCTCCTCTTACATTAGCAAAAGGTTGGTTAGTTTGATTGCATGAATTGAAGGGTCATGTGGCTTGGCGATAAGCCGATAACACTGACTTTTGTGCCAAGACTGTCAACACTAACCTCTCCATCCCTCGGCCCTTGGATAAGGTCCTAAAAGTTTTTTTATTTTTTTTTTATTTTTTTTATGGCCTCCCTTATTGATATAATCTAATTTTTAGATTTTGCCTTCAGGGTTTGTTTGTGTGTGTTGTTCGTTAAGTTTGAAAATATATTAACATGGATATGTCACGTGCAGAAAACTATAACCCCCTAATCCTATGTACTTACCCATTGGTTCATGTTGAAGAGACTTATTCATTTTTCGTTAGTGCCGTGGCAGGATAGGATTTATCAGTTGTGACTACAGGGCTTCTCTCTTTCACAAGATAACATTTGCTGGATCAATTAAATCTGCATGTCCATCGCCAATGCCTTAATTATATCAGTGTTAGGAAATGTTCATATTTAATCTCTGAAGTTAACCTACCAAGTTCATGCACTCATCACTTTATCTTATAATAAAGGATTATGTAAAAGTCATACAAAGATGGTAAATCAGTGAGGGGAATAACATTTCACTTATTTGTCACCAGCATCACACCTGTAAATGTTCATGAACCTTGTCTTATTTAGCCCAAGTCTCTTTGCATCTTCTTTCTTTTCCTTTTCCACTGAAGCTACCCCATCTTTGCATGTTTGAGTAAATTCAGTCTCTACAAATGCAGCCATTTTACATGACCTTCCTCAGCATTTTCTCATGGCTCCTCCATGGTTTCAAGAGCTCCATCTCCGCCACTTGAGCATTTCTGTGACCATTGATAAAACGTTTATGGTTACGCCATCAAGGCCTATTCCCGTTAAACCAGGTGACAGTTTGTATCTTTCCAACCTCGATGACATGATTGGAGCTCGTGTATTTACACCTACAGTGTACTTTTATCAATCAGACAACTTGAGTTCTTCCCAAAAACCTGTGACAAAAACACTTCGCAATGCTCTCGCTGATGTTTTAGTGCCATATTACCCTCTCTCGGGCAGGCTCAAAGAGACCAAGAATGGTAAGCTAGAAGTGTTTTTTGGACCAGAACAAGGAGCATTCATGGTTGAGGCAAGATCTGATATTGCCTTAGCTGAACTAGGAGACCTCACAGCTCCAAACCCAGCTTGGGAACCTTTGATCTTCAAGTTCCCCAATGAAGAACCATACAGAGTCCTTGAAATGCCACTGGTAATTGCTCAGGTTACCCTTTTCCGCTGTGGTGGTTTTAGCCTTGGTTTAAGGCTCTGCCATTGCATATGTGATGGCCTTGGAGCTATGCAGTTCCTAGGTACATGGGCTGCCACAGCAAAAACAGGGATGCTAGTTACAGACCCTGAGCCATGTTGGGAAAGGGAAATTTTCAAGCCTCGTGACCCACCTGTGGTAAAATTCCCACACATGGAGTTCATGAGAATTGATGAGGGCTCCAACCTCACAATGACACTATGGCAAACCAAGCCTGTTCAAAAGTGTTATCGGATCAAGCGTGAGTTTCAAAACTGCTTGAAAGCTCTTGCTCAACCATTTGATGCTGCAGGTTGCACCACTTTTGATGCTATGGCAGCTCATATTTGGAGATCATGGGTGAAAGCTCTTGATGTGAAACCACTTGATTACCAGCTTAGGTTAACATTCTCAGTTAATGCTCGCCAGAAACTTAGAAACCCACCACTGAGAGAAGGGTTTTACGGCAATGTGGTGTGTGTTGCATGCACAACAAGTACTGTGTCTGAGCTTGTGCATGGAAAGCTCCCAGAGACTACCCTTTTAGTTCGTGAAGCTAGACAAAGTGTCTCAGAGGAGTATTTGAGGTCCACAGTGGATTATGTTGATGTGGATAGGCCAAGGCAACTTGAGTTTGGGGGTAAACTAACAATAACTCAATGGACTAGGTTCTCAATATACAAGTGTGCAGATTTTGGGTGGGGTAGGCCACTCTATGCTGGTCCTATAGATTTAACGCCCACTCCTCAAGTTTGTGTGTTTCTACCTGAAGGGGATGCTGATTCTAGTGGTTCTATGATAGTGTGCATATGCTTGCCTGAGTCTGCTGCTCAGAAGTTTACACAAGCCTTGTTGCTCGATTCAGTGTTGACATAAACTTTGTGCTAATTCAACTTGTGAGACCTTATGCTCCTACTGGATTTAGGTCATTAAGCTATCAATAAATTAAGCATCAACATTGATGCATTTTGATGATTCAATTGATCCTGAAGGAGTTACTGTTGCCGGATGTGAAAGTGGTTGCTTAATTTTTTTTTAAAAATGTTTAAGCATGTTTTAATTCCAACAAAAAAGTTTTAAGCATGTTTTAATTTCAACAAACCGTATGCTAGCAAATAAGAATATATATAACTAATCTAAAATAAATAAATAAATAACACCCAAATGAAATGAATAGTCAAAGATATCACCAATCAAAGGATTCAAATAATAACCACCACTAGGGCTAGCCTACGGGTGTAGTGTTTAGTGGGTGTGTGGGTTGCAGTTCGATTCCCTTGTAATTCAAAAAAAAAAAAGATTCAAATTTTTTATATTATATATATATATATATATATATATATATATATATATATATATATATATATATATATGTATGTATGAGATCGACAAGATCCTTTGATACCAGTGTCAAATTTAAAGTTTGACACTTCATATGAGAGTCGTTAAATCAAAAAAGATCGACGACTCTGATTTGTAAACATATGACACCATTAATCTTTTTTGATCTAACGGCTCTCAAATGAGGTGTCACATTTTAAATCTGACACCAGTGTCAAAGGATCTTACCCTTATATATATATAGGCAGTAGTATCCTTTAACACAAATCCTAACCATTTATTTCTGTCAATCTGACGGTTATAATTTACTGTGTCAATATTTTTTTTTTTTGTAATATTGTGTCAAACTTATTAATTTAATTCGTAATTCCCAATAAATTATAACCGTTAATTGGCAGAAATCATCAATTAGGATTTGGTGTCAAACTTAGAAGTTTGACATCAATGTCAAGGATCCCATAATATATATATATATTATGGGTCAGGATCATTTTACACCAGTGTAAGTTACACTCTCATTTTTGTCCGTTGAGCTCATTTATATCTAAGGGCTCTAATTTTTTAGTAACGTGAGACATTGGATACAAGTGGATCAATGGTCAAGATTGAGTGTAAGACTTCTAACTCTTACACCGGTGTAAGAATATCATACCCCACATATATATATATATATATATATATATATATATATATATATATATATATATATATAGGGGAGAGTTATATTTATAATCGTTAATTGACGGAAATCAACAATTACAAGAGTTATAAGTCTTGCACTCAATCTTGATCATTGATTCACTTGTATCCAATGGTTCACATTACTAAAAAATTTGAACCCTTAGATATAAGTTGATCAACGGACAAGATTAAGAGTGTAACGTACACTGGTGTAAAATGATCTTAACCCATATATATATATATATATATATATATAGGAGGGTTATATTTACAAACTCTTACAAACTACACTATGTATTTTCGGAAGAACACTAGGTTACACTATGTTCTCCCGGGTACATAGTGTAATTTGCAAAAATTTGTAGAACATAGTGTAATTTGTAAAAAAATTTAAATTTTTTTTGTAAATGGATCATTCCCCACACACACACATATATATTTTAGCATATATATATATATATATATATATATTTCAGCACTTATTTCCTTTTTCGATAAAAAAAATAAGGATACTATGATTATTAGCATAACTTGTTTACAAAAAAATTTGCTAGTATAACTTAATCGCATGTGGTTTCAAGTTTTAGCACTTCGATCCATTGGGGTTACTGTGTAAATCACTTGACTCCTTGAATACCAAAATTATGCTTATTATATAAAATATCAAAAGTGCCCCTACATATATAAGCACAACTTGTACTCCAGGTAGTCATCTTGGTTGTGGGACAACCTCTCTCCAATCAAGGTTTTAGGTTGACTATGTACCCACCACTTATGCAATCCTTTAATTTTTCTCCAAAATATTTTCCAGCAGAAGAGTATGGTATTTTACGTAATTTGTATCTAATCCATCCTCTTGAGGTGTGTCCAAATTTATTAAGGGTTCCAAAATTCATATGCAACAAGAACCGCATAATCTCCACCCTGTTGGGCATTCGAGACCTTCAAAAGAAGCTTAGGAACTATTAGACTTATACGGAAGCGATTTAGGACCTAGTACATTGGTATACTTACCGAATCATCATTGTTTCACAATTACCTCTTGGTGCACAGATCTTGTGTAGAATCTTCCTTTGTATGATTCCTCTTCACGAACTACTCACCTCAGCACCTCAGCACCTCAGCACAAACAACCTTCTTGTAGCTGGACTGTGGCAGATCTTCCAGACTATGTCTCAAGGGAAAATGAGAAGTGTGTGGGTACTCTCTCACTTTCAGAGTGATAACCTTACCTCAGCCTCTCTTGGTGCGCAGATCTCGTGTAGAATCATCCTTTGTATGATTCATCTTCACGAACTGCTCACTTCAGCGCCTCAGCACGAACAACCTCCTTGTAGACTTGAGAGGCTGATGACTATAAGTGTAGAATATTTATGGGTTCCAAGAAACTCTAACCCTAAGCAGAATGGATTTTAGGTTTCTTGGGCTCTTCTTACACACTAGGCCTTATTGGACTTTAGTGAAAGAGCAAAACCCAACAATCTCCCACTTGCTCTTGAGTACGAACTTGAGCCCAAAGCCCAAGTCCATGTATCGCACTAGTCGTCATCAAGTGAAATTTCCCCATCCCTTATCTTGAGCTAGCCTGAGGATCTATCATCTGTTATTAATCAAGGCTCCTGATAATCAACGAATGATTATCTAATTCGGTATTACTCCACTAAAAGCCCGAACTTGAACTCCAAGATTAACAACACTTATAACAAGAATATGCTTCGACCCTTTGTAGAATGTCTATAATTGATTGACAAGTTTTCTGTAACTCAATCAATTATTTATTCCCTTGACTACGATAGTTTCTCTAATGGATTACATGCACTGGCCAATGTTTTTAATATCCAAGTACCGAAACATATCAAGGGGACATATCCTACAAATTCCATCTTGTTTATTGTTGGGTGGTTTGCTGCTGGTGGAAAAATATAAGTTCTGATAAGGGACGTTCCTCTGTTCTTATAGAACACAGATTCGTTCCCTCACTTCCAACCCAAGTGTGCAAGTGCACGCATCAAGTAATATTGGGTGTATTAATGCCCAGATTATCGTTCCCACGAGGATAGAACTCTGAATATTGTCTTACACTGTTTTGTAAAGAATGAAAATGAGAAGAAAAGTTAGTAAATGAACTGTCTGGTCAAATATTCCCTACTATCTTGACAACGTTCCTCAGGAACAGTAGGTTCAATCTGATGGCAAACAATTACTCGCTGCGTTATGTATGTGGTCCTTCCTGTTTAGAAGAAGGTGAGATAATAAGCATTGGAGTTTGATAGATACAAGATTAAATAAAGTAAAACTACTAAACAAAAATAACTATAATCAAGAGACAACAGGGTGATGGTTTTAAAACAGTTTAAAAGAAGGAACGGTTTCACTGCTCCACTCTTAAATAGTTATTTTCTCTGCTCAAGACCTAGCACTTTTCGGCTTTGTCCCAGTTTCTTATCTGCCAACTCTGATTCCTCAGCTCATGGACTAGATGGCTCACAAGTTTCCATATTCCTACGGCTCCCTTGACTCCAATAGGTACTCAGTACAGAACCTTAAAGTGGAGAAGCAGCCCCTTATTCCTAAGGTGACCAATAGTGTTTTTGCCATGACACTACCTGCCCCCAATGGCTAAGCTGTCTGAAATCCCTTCCTTATGGAAGTTCCTTTGTTATTATGTGTTCAATTTCCATTGATACACAATGAATATAGCTTACTTAGCCAAAGAAATACAAAAATCTTCAGTCAAGAGTTTTGAAAATAATTCTTTAAGAATGTTGCAGTTTTATCCGTCCCACAGATAGTTCAGCTCATGGCTGATATTTTAAACAGAATTATTCCGAACTGAAATCCCATAGACCCGAGATTCAGTTTAGAGATAACGAATGGAATGAAGAGAAAAACACTTATATTAAATTAAAAGACAGTTTACACAGAAACATAAAATGGAGAAGGATGGTTTGATGCTCGTGAGGAGTCTTAGGGGTTGATACAGAGAAGAGAAGGGGGGTTGTCACTTAATTACAGTTACAACTTAAATAAAATAAAACTAAGCTACTAATACTACTAGGTGATCTCTTCCCTTAGGACTTTAATTCCTCCAGGATTCGATGATATTTTTGTGTGTGGGACGTCCTTTTTATAGGTAGAAGAGGAGTGGCAGTCTTGTAAATCCTTTGGAGCTGGGTTCTTGCGTGAAGGGACAGGGCGGTGGCAATAGAGTGTAGAAGCTGTACAAATTGCTGGATGGGACAGGATTTATTGATGATTAGCTATTTTCTGCAGTCCTCCCATGCCTTGCTTTCTTCTTTGAGAACTCCTGATTCTCTGCTCTTCACGTTTCCTGGTGCTTGAGTGGTGCACCGCCTCTGCTTTTAGAAGACTTTATATCCACGTTTCCTGCAAAGTGTACAGAGGCATTAAATGAGTGGAGCAGGTTCAATAAATGCGTCTCAGTCCGTCCTTTTTTTAAAGTATTTTAAAGGAATACGTTACCATACGTTCCCCCACTGTGTTTTTATCATAAATGTGTAAAACAAGTGATTTTCATGCTAAAGTTGTTCATCAGATGAGGGAGCGTGTGGTATTTTTCCATCAAAATGGGCCTAGATTGGAACGAATTTACGTCCCATCAAACACCCCAAAACTAAACTGTTGGTTATCCTCAAACAACTCAGAAATATTGAATTGGGCTGCCCAATTTCAAAGAATAGCTCAACAGAAAGAAACTTGAGCTAGTGAATAATCATGAACTTTTCAAAAAAATGAGTTACTCTCCATAGTTAACAATTAGGAGGAATTTTCGTTCCCAGGTAAGTGAAGGTTGCTGATCTTTTGTCTCACTATCACTCAGGGTTTGGTGTTTG